GAGGGTGGAGCGCGGCCGTCCCGGCCCCGCCGCCGCCGCCCCGATGCCGGCGGGCACCGAGCAGCCGGGGGCCGCCGCCGCCGAGCCGCCGCCCGCCCCGGCACCGCCGTCCGCCGCAGACAGGCCGCCGGCTTCGGGCCGCCGCCGACCGCCGCCGCCCGCCGCCGATCAGGGGGAGGAGTCTGGCGGCAGCCGGGTGCTGAGGGGCGGCCGGGAGCGCGGCCGCGCCGCTTCGGCCGCGGGGGGAGCCGCCGCCGCTGCTGCCGCGTCCCGCCGCCGTAAGGCCGAGTATCCCCGACGCCGGCGGAGCAGCCCCGGGGCGCGGCCCGCCGCCGAGCAGCCTGCCGCCGAGACGCCGCCCGCGGCCAGGAAGGCCCCCCGGGCCGGGTGAGTCCCTGCAGCGCCGGGCTCCGCCCGCGTCTTCCGGGGATCGCGGGCGCGGGGCTGCGGGCGGCCTCTGCCCGACCGCGCCAACGGGCCCAGGTCCTGGGGCCGCCTCCGGCCGCGGGCTGCCCCGCGCCGCCGCCCCTTTGTTCCGGCCTGGGCCGGCCCCTTCAGTCCCTTCCCAGGAAGGGCAGTGTCCCGGGAATCGCCGGCTGCGCAGCGCCCTCGGGCAGCGGCCGCTGTCCCGGTCCCCCGCGGCGCCAGCGCTGTCTGGCTCTGTCTACCAAAGGTCTGGGTGAGGGTGGCGGTGGGATCTGCCTTCCCGGGAGGAGATGCTGCATTCGCTGCACCTTCGATCCTGAGCAGGACACCGGAGCCTTTGGCAGTATAGCTGCTCTGCCCTGTTCTAAGAGCACAAAAATCCCCCTGGATCGGTCATAACTGTCCTGGGCATGGCTGGGCCTTTGCTGCTTTGGCCAAGTGTTCGCTCTACCACTGGCCCCATCGGTCCCTTGGGATGGGGTAGGTACAGGAGGGAGCAGGGCTCCATGGCTGCCCCTCTGCGGCATCCCCTCCAGGTCCTGAGGTACAGGAAGGAAAAGGCTCCCCAGAGGTGCCAGAAAT